GTATTTAAATGATTATGGGGAACATCTGAAGTGATCCATTCGTTTAATTATTCCAAAAAGACTACTTAGATGAACTATAATTGGAGTTGTGAATCGTACTCGCGATACAATTAAAGTGATACGGTGTAACGATTTATATCACATTTTTTAGTATTACTTAAATTATTACAGTGTGTTTGGTTGGAGATGGGGAATTACGTGGTAAATGAATTGCAATTTCATGGGAGATGAATTGCTGGGAATAAAGTGGAAATTTAAATTCCAATGTTGATTTACAGGAATAGAATTACTAGGAATTTCAATTCCAATGTTTGGTATACATAAGAATTGAAAGATAATAAGTAGTATAAAGTTCAAAATGTCTATTGTTATTGCCAGACATTAATTTTAAGTTAAAAATGGAATGAGTAATTTTGACTCATCACTATATTTTTTTTTTTCCTAAAACTCCAGGAATTAAAATCGCAGGGGGACATAGGATTTTAATTCTATGAAAATGGAGGAATTGTAATTCCTTTCAACCAAACCAGAGAACTTTGTGGCCTTTGGAATTAGGTGGGAATTAAGTGTGAAGAAATTTAAATTCCCTTCAACCAAACGCTCTGTTAAAGCACAAAAAACTAATACATTCACTAGAGTTCAAACTTGTGACCTATCATTTGGGAGGACTATAATTATGCCACTTGACCATAAATGTTAAGAGTTATTGATTTATTTATTATAAAGTAAAAGTTAAGGGGGTTCTTGCAAAAAAATCTTATAAATGTTAACTTCATCAACTCATGTCATTTAACACAAATGATTAGGATTGAATTTGAGATAATGATAAATCATTTTTAAAATTATTTAGATGAATCACAATTAGAGTAATTAACTACTCCAATTGCTACTATTATTTTATTATTATCTAAGGCTACAAATTTGGTGGAAACAATATAATTAAAGTGATTCATCAATAATTTTAATTGTAGTAGCGATGTTCTAATCGTTATAATTTCAACATTCCTTTAAAATTAGCTTAAAAATTAAAGTATCAAATATGACTCATTGTATTAGTTAAGAAAACAATTTATAAGACAATATAAATAGATGCATACATTGTTATTTTACTTTTCACATTATATCGACAATTTTAAAAAGGCATAGTCTCTATACTATATTGATATTTTTAAGAATAAGGTATGATATCCATATGACTATATTTTATGATTTTTGCTAATAAGATATTAAATTTTGTGTTTTTTTTTTTAATCAATAAGGGGGGAAAACCCAAAGAAAGAACTAGTTGCATCTATGGTTGAAAAAATCGCTAGGCAATCTTTAGACACTTGGGGGCGCCTAGGCGGTGATTAATCGGCGGCTAGGCGCCTTGTGTATATATGTTTTTTAAAGATATGTTTAAAATATTTTAATTTTTAAGACTAATAATTATAAATTATATAATACTTTAATAGTTAATATTAAAATATTAACCTAAAAAATATAGAGTTTTAACAATTTATGGTTATTTCCGCTCAAAACGATGTTATTTTGAGTGAAATAACCAATTAAAAAAAAAACAATAGTTAATTAGCCGACTATACGGCCTAGGCAGTCAGCCGGTCGGCCGCCTAGACCACCGATTATGGTGATACGCTAGGCGGCTGACCGGCAACACTAGTTGCATTTCATAATGATCCTTCTAGAGTTCAGACCCATACACAATCATCATTTAAGGCTCTCTGAATCTTGAGATGTGATCTTACCATTTTATTCTAATTGCTTTATTTGACAATTGTCAAGTTAACCAAAGTGTCAATAATATAATTTAATTTTGCTTTATAGTGAACATGATTTTTCATAAATATCCAATCTTTACCCATCCAACAGAAGTCTATAACTATGAGCCTACTATTTCTCCAAAAAAAAAAAAAAAAAAAAAAAAAAAAAAAAAACTATGAGGCTACTTTGAATCTAATGAAAACTCATCATTCTTGAATTTGAATATGGTCACCAAGTCAAAAATGAGTTCACCAAACTAAACATTTAAAGTGACACACAAAGTTACTGTCAATTACAAATTTGTTGTTTTATCCCACATATTTGGAGTTCCACTCGAAAAAGTAAATTGGACTACAATAAAGTTTTAAAGTCAAAATGTTGTCAAAAAAAAAAAAAAAAACATTACATTTAGAGGAAGTTTGGTACTTTTCATCTATTAAGTTTTATGGGAAAATATTTTCGAATAATATGTTTGATGAGAATAACTATACAAGTAAATTTAATTAACATGTTTAGTTGAATGTACACATGATGCATGGGTTGAACTCGCTTGTAATATGAAAAAAAAAATTTTTGTATTTTCGTTTTAAATATTCGCAAATGTTTGTTTAAAATAATAATGTAAAATAGTTAGATATAAATTGAATAGAAATTAACTCTTAAATGATTATATATTGATTTAAATATTCTTAATATATTATAACAATTTTATTCCGTGCATCGCACGGGTGAAAATACTAGTTAACATAAAAAACAAAAATGATCAAATTGACCAAAATATTTAAAATATAGGACGTAATTGATCCCAAAAATAAGATAAAATAAAATTAATTAGGTGATAACAACATATAGATTAGATTGAACTTTTTTTTTGGGGACTATATTTTATTAAATTAAAAAAAAAAGATAAAATTTACATGTTACAATATATTATATTGGGAAAATTGTAAAAAATGTTCCTCTATAATATGTCAATTATCTGTGTTACACCTGAATTATGAGTGGTGTAAATGTTGCCCCTCAATTATCAAAACGGTGCACATATAGCCCCTCTCGTAATGGACATGTGATTCCCCGTTAGTGTACGACACTGTTAAGTTGGAGTAAATATGTAATTTAGTTGTTTTTTCCCTCCCTCGATTCGAAGTACCAGCGATGGACAACGGTGGGGAACCACAGGTCCGTTACGGGAGGGGCTATACGTGCACCATTTTGATAATTGAGGGGCAACATTTACACCACTCATAATTCAGGGGTGACTTGATAATTGACATATTATATATCGGCATTTTTTACAATTTTTCCTATTATATTTAAAGAAAAACAATAGCCCCTCTATTATTCTGAATTAGTTATTTTAATCAATCACAATCTTCACTTTTAAAATTAATCCTTAAAATCTTTTTTTTTTTTTTTTTAAAGTGTTATGTTTGTGTGATTTAACCTAGTGACACGAAGTGATTTTTTACATAAATTTTTATATCACTAGAGAAACTAACACCGTATGTTATAGTGTTAAATCATTTCAAAAAATAAACTTATTTACATATGTCATAATCAAAGAACTCCAAAGCATGGATATCAAAGAACATTTTTGTTTGGTATGAGAGGATTTCATTAGAACAATTGAATTCAATGTTGGGTATGAGAGGATTTCAATATAATACTTGCACCACATGCTAATTCTCCAAAATAGGTTATTATAGATATTTACACTGTACATTGCATATTAAAGGAGGGAGCCACAATAACCTTTCTAATAGGGTGACCGGATAATTGTTCAAACATTTCACTCTTTTAAAAACTTTAAGATAAAAAAGGGAACGTTATCGCCTATAATACAACATTATTTATCCGATAACTGATAATCAACAAAGTCATAAAACTACATTGATGTATTTAGATTACAAGTAATGATAGACACATAGATTATAGAGTTCTCTATTAATTTTATTGATAATACTCAACACTATTTTAAAAAATGTAAAATTCGCATCTAACTACACAAGACTCTTATACACACACAATCATTTATACCCTAACATTGCCATTATTAGATTTTCATCTGAAATCCATGCAACTAAGAAAAGAAAAATAAGAATCTTACATCAACTAAGTAATAGAGCTATTCTTACATTACACACCATTTCTACAAAACAAATACCATGCTTGGGGCAAAATAATAATAATAATAAAGAACTAGGTACAAAAAAAAAATCAATTATCTACACGGGTAGCTGAATTGATTATTCCTTAAGGGTCAAATAGGCCACTCAACTACGCGTCTACGCACAACATTGCAATTAGGCCATTGAACTAAAAAAGAATGCAATTGAACCATTAAACAACACAAAAACATACAATTTAATTCAAAATGACTTGTTTACCAGATGTAGCAAGTTACTGATTTTAAAATTATATTTTTAAAATAATATTTAATAAATAAATAATTAAAATATTAAAAAAAAAAAAAACAGAAACTGCCGCCCGGAGACGATTCGGCCGAATCGTCTTCGGCCGGCTTCGTCTCCGTGGCTGGAGACGAAACTCCGTCTCCAGCTATGGAGACAAAGATCTTCGTCTCCATAGCATAATATTTTAATTATTTAATTATTAAAAATTATTTTTAAAAATTAATTTTAAAATCGGTAACTTGCAACATCAGGTAAATAAGTCATTTTGAGTTAAATTGCATATTTTTGTGTTGTTTAATGGCTCAATTACATTATTTTTTAGTTCAATGACCTAATTATAATGTTGTGCGCAGTTGAGTGACCTATTTGACCCTTATTCCTAAATTATATGTAAGAACATAAAAACAAACGTTGGCACTCCTCACCTAATGTGGTTGATTCTTTATGAGCATTGAAGACTTATAACAAACCTCTAAATCATTGATAATTGATCCCTTTCATTATCCTGTTGATCTAAGTATAAGGCTCAAGATTGAGAAAATTTTACCTTCTACTGCACACAAAAAAATAAAAATAAAAATTTGAGTATGGATATATAAGCAAAATTCAAGTTTAGGAGGACAAGAAATAATGATATTTAATGATTTTACAATGTTTTTTATAGTCGCAAGTTGCAAAATTTGGCGTGAAAATGCCGTTGCCGACATCTAAAAATCTTGTTAACTGTTGACGTTAATCCAGGATGCTTATAATCCCCACGCGGCACGCGCTCGCTAATCCCTTGCAACATTTCTAACTTTTCACTTTCTTCTTTTTTCTTTTCTTTTTTTTCCTCTAAATTCTCTTCATCTTCCTCAAATAAATATTTTTTTTAAAAAGAAAATCTGTACCCATTTTGAGGAATTCAAGCCTACAGCTCACTGGCTCAACTACTGTGATTGTTTATTTACAGCGGTCCCATTATATACAGTTCTTTGTCTCTATAGATCACTTCAGAATTCAGAAACAACAAAAGAAGAAAAAGGATTACAAAAATCTCAAATTTGAAGATATCTCTTTCATTTTCATGACTAGCAGCACTATGGTGCTTTTAAGATAAGGTTTAATAATGCCTTTTGAATCATAATCTTATCTTTATTATTCTTAATTCAAACACTAATTATCAGTTTTGCTGCCCATACTGTTGGGTTCTGAAGAGTGTATCTCACACTCTTTATTTTTTATTTTCCTTTTCTGTGTGTTTTTTTGTTCTTGGAGTTTCAGAATCTTTGTATGTGTTTGTCCTGAGAACCCAAGATTTAGCAATGGCTTGGAGGAACAAGATGCCCAATTTCAGATATATCATTCAGGTTTTTGTCCTTTCCCAATTGTTCCCTTTTATCCTGTCTTGTAAATTATTATTTAGTTTTTTTTTTCTTTTTTTGGGTCAATTTTTAATTTAGTGCCTTTTTAGTATAGAATTAATGTTATTGTTTAGTGTTTACACCATAAATTTCCATAATTCTTCAAGTGTACACTAAAATGGTGTGGTTAGTTCAGTAAGAAATCTGTAATTTTCAGCTTTCAATTGCCCAACACACCTCTTTGAAGTTGCTTAATTGTACTGGCAATAGAAGGATTAACTTTCCCAGTTCTTCAGAAGTAAGCAATGGTAGTTTTCAGATTCATAGGCTTGGGGTGGGTGGGTGGGGGGTGGGGGGGGGGGGGGAGGAGGGAGTTTATGTTCTTTGAATTACTAACATATATTTGAACCTGGGAGGTGTGGTTGAGTGGAAGGGACTTATCGATCCTTAACCAAACCAAACGTCAAGGGATTGATCCTTGGTCTTGGGTATGGAACAACCTTAAATCTCCAGACCAGCTATCCCACCAGGTGCCTTCAATTCAGCGAGGGGTTTAGTCATTGTGTTTGGCGGTTCTTTGAATTACTAACATATACATAGTATTTGAAAGATGGATAATGGCGAGGCAAAATCATGAGTCCTAGGAATCATGATTCACATATGTAGTGTGTGTGTGTGTGTTTTAGATTTCTTCTGTTGAATGAATGTATAGGTTGCTTGGTGTTATTTTCCTTTTCGTTTTTTTCTGAATTTTCTCGGTTTTGATTCGAACTAAGCAGGGTGCACCAGATGATGTCGAGCCAGGGTGCCAGCACACTATTCAGTCCCACGGTTCAACGCTTGCGTGGGATCATAAACTAGACTGGCTTATAATGCTGCTGCTTTTGGTGATAGAGGTCGCCCTCTACATCGTTGGTCCATTTTATCGTTTTGTAGGCGTGGACATGATGACGGATCTTAAATATCCCATGAAAGAGAACACGGTCCCTGTTTGGGCTGTTCCCGTGAGTATAACTTATTACGAGTAATTGTTAATTTGTTTATGCCAATTATGCAATTATAAGTCTTGTTTTTATTTTTGTTATATATTTCCTAGTAATTCTTAAGAAAGTTCGATTTGATCGATATGGCATGAAAATAACTAGTCAGTATTCTGTCCCCGAACAGCTATATGCAGTGCTTTTGCCGATTCTCATCTTCGTTTTCTTCTATATTCGAAGGAAGAATGTCTACGATCTGCACCACAGCATACTAGGTAATTTACTCGGTTTCGTGCGTTTTATTAGTGGAAATTCTAAGGATTTCTTGAGTTTCTAATAATTTCGTTAAGCACGAAACTGCAGGGCTTGTATTTTCCGTGCTTATAACTGCTGTCTTGACAGACGCAATTAAGAATGCAGTTGGCCGGCCTCGACCCGACTTTTTCTGGCGTTGTTTTCCGGATGGACGAGATGTAAGGAACCACAAGGCTTAGAAATCTGTCATATTCATTGACACGATAATACGTATCAATAGTGTACAACTTTTTACATCGTATATGTTTGCATATGGTACCGTTTATAGATACACCCATTGTATGTATTCATGTGTGTAACTTCCATATTTGTGAATTCAATTACGTGCAGTGTTGATGATAGAAGCCATCGAAATTATCCAGATCGATATGCTTTATTGACTCTATTATTGCACTTATTATTGGATCTCTGTACTCTTTTCAGCGATATGATCGTTGGGGCAATGTGGTATGTCATGGTAACGAGAGTGACATAAAGGAAGGGCATAAGAGTTTTCCAAGCGGTCATACTTCGTGTAAGATATTTATTTTTGTTTTTTATTTTGTTAGACGTCATACATGGTAGGCATATATTTAGTCATTAGTATAGCATGATCTTAGGAATTGATTTCCAATCCCTACCGTAGATAGTATCAATTTATTGTATAGATTCTTCTCTTGTTTACATGGTATCAGAGTCTGTTCGGTCCACTTTGTGTTCACCTGGTTGTTTACCGTGGTATGGGTGGCGTCCTGGTTTTGTTTCAGGGGAGGGTCTAATCCCAAGCCCGATTGTTCGGTCCACATGATCAACTAGTTAGATTCAAAATGGCCCAGTTGTCTACTCAAGGGTGAGGAATAATATAGGTTTATAAGGTTATGACTTATGAGTTAGACTAGCTAATTGATTGGATTCAGTCTTTTAGTGTGGTTTGATCCATGCACATTATAGTCTAATTGAGTGACCTTGACCCTAGATTATTAAGTTATAACATATTTTTTACAATACCTTTTGAGATGGTATAATTTTGGTTTCATCAATGCTTGTTGACTGGAATTGTTGAAGAAAGTTTTTCTTGCTGATCAGAAAAATAAAAATCCCTTTCATCTGACAAAGACTGGTTGTTTTATAGGGTCCTTTGCGGGGCTAGGTTTCCTTTCATTGTATTTAGCTGGGAAAATTAAAGCGTTTGATCGCAGAGGCCACGTGGCGAAGCTATGCATCGTTTTTCTTCCTCTTCTTGTGGCGTCTCTTGTTGCTGTTTCGCGTGTGGATGACTACTGGCATCATTGGCAAGACGTGTTTGCCGGGGGTCTCTTAGGTTTGTTTCTCGTTGCTCGGTGCATATAACTCAAGTAATTACGCGTTTCCTTTTACTCCCGTTTATCTTGCTTTCAGGTCTTGTAGTCGCAACATTCTGCTATCTCCAATTTTTCCCACCGCCATATCACACTGAATGTAAGCCCCGTTTATTTGCCCTTTTTTACTATAGTTGTGTTTTGCCGTACTTTCCTAAGGCTTTCGTTTTTCGTGATCCTTCGTCTCCCTATCTACTTTTGGATTATTATACATAACGTAAAAACTCTTTTAGCTAATAATAGCCAAAACATGCCATCTTTTTCTTGTAGCATCAAATAAAGCACACACGAACCATTCTCTCATAAGATTATCATCACATTCTAGTTTCTCGAGTGTTGGAAATGATTTGAAATTGCACTACATGGGAACCGAATGAATCTCGAAGGTGAAATGGAGAAATGATTTGATGTTAGTTTGTGTTAAGAGTCCACATTGATAAAACAAGAGAGAACATATGTGTTTATAAGGCTATGAGTTAGACTAGTTAATTGATTGGATTCCGTCTTTCAGTGTGGTTTGGCCTATGTGCATTATAGTCCAGTTGAGTGACCTTGAAACTAGGGATTTATACTCTCGAGCCTTAGAGTTGGTATTGCCAAAGGGTTTCCGGGTGACATCTTTGAGAACCGAAACAAAGACTCATTTTTGGTAAAATTGGGAAACCATCAAAACCAAACTAATGTTTTTGGCTTCGGTTTAGGTTGGTTGGTTTAGTAGCATAACGGTTGGTGTTTTGTCGTGCCAACAGGTTGTGTTAAGAGTCCACATTGATAAAATAAGAGAGAACATATGGGTTTATAGGGCTATGAGTTAGACCAATTAATTGATTGGATTCAGTCTTTCAGTGTGGTTTGACCTATGTGCATTATAGCCCAGTTGAGTGACCTTGAAACTAGGGATTTATACTCTCGAGCCTTTCCGGGTGACATCTTTGAAAACCGAAACAAGACTCATTTTTGGCAAAAATGGGAAACCATCGAAACCAAACTAATGTTTTTGGCTTCTTCGATTTAGGTTGGTTGGTTTAGTAGCATAACGGTTGGTGTTTTGTCGTGCCAACAGGTTGTAGTCCCTACGCATACTCCCGAGCAGTGGAAGAGTTTCGCAGTCATTCACGAGCACACGCCGCTGTTGTTAATGGACCAAATATACAGCGCCTAGAGCTGCCCGCAGCAGCAGCAGATCAGCAAACGAGCTATCCATCCGAGGATGTGGAGCGTGGCAGGACGTGAATACAACGAGACGACAACCTTTGATCGGGTCGAAGTTTCCGAGGTAGATTCATAGTTTCTTGTGAATATTCTTCAGGTAAGAACTTCACTTCTAGATTGCTAAAAAAATGGCAGTGCAGAAGCTTGCAGAGAAATAGCCTTTCTTCTTTCTTTCTGTAAGAAGTTTAGAACATAGTACTGTAATGTGATCATGGGACCAACTGAGGTTGAAACATGAACATGTAGAAACAGTTTGTGTTTTTTTTTTTTTTTTAATTTAAATGTTGAATATAATAATGATTGTCTTGAATAATTGTCAAATTTCAATGAAGAAAAAGAGTAAGTATAAAGGTAAACTAAGCCTCCTAAGTGAAGCTAAATAGTGTAATTGAGCCCCTAATAAAAAAATCATTAAAACTTCTAAAACCCCTTTGTCATAAATAATTATCTGTTTACATTTTTATTATTTCATTTTCAACAAAGATGAAATAAAATAATTTTATCATTTTAAGTCTTTTGTAATTTCTCTCTTGTGAACTCTTTTAATTGATAATAAAATTGTATAATAACGCTCTTTATTAAATAGTTGAATGACGCAAATTTAAACTTTATGCAATTTGTGGTTTATATGCATTTCAGAAATATAAAGTAGGAGAAATTACATTTTTGTCCCTTAATATTTTCAGGATATGCTATCTTATACATTGAAATTATCAATCAAAAAGTTTTTTTTTTGAGAAATATTATAAATTCAAATATGTGTTTTTTTTTTACATTTGAAAGTTTAAACTAAATTTTATTTTTTAAAAATACGTGTAATTTTTAAAGGAAAAATCAATTCAAAATTATTTTTCAGATAAAAATATCATTTAAGAGAATAATTAAAATGATGCTATTTTTAAGTGATTTCAATGAAGAACCGTGTGAAGGGGTTGTCTGTCTTTTAGAAACAAAAACTTACTAAATCGCTAGAAGGAGGGCTCGAACCTCCGACCTTGTGGTTAACAGCCACACGCTCTAACCAACTGAGCTATTCCAGCTTATGTTTACAATATTGCAATTAAAGTATTTATTAAATCTATTTAAATACAGTGCTTTTATATTAATAAATTTGTTTTTATTTAAAAATTTAACAAAAACAAATTAATATATTTAAAATGTAAAAATTATAATAATTTTTTGTTTTCATTATTTATTTCCATAAATAATAATTATCTTGTATTAAAATTATATTTTTTGAAAACATAAGAAAATATATATTTAAAAACTCAAAAGAAAACTATACACAAACTCATATGTATAATTTGTCACACATTAGCGGTAAACAAAGAGTAACTTTGACCAATTATGATTATTAGGCCAATCCACTAAGGCTAACTATATCCCTAAAAGGATGAGACTTGCAAGTTCATATAAAAATTTCTTTCTGAATTTTTATTTTCTTATTTTTTTTTTTTCATTTCTCTTTCAAGCTTGCAAACAAGCACAAAAGTTATAATTTTGCCTGAAAGGAATGAAGCCTTTGAACCAAAAGTGGGCAAATTATACTTTAGACCCAGATTTAAAAATACATAATTTATATACTGAATGTTTACATTTTACATATTGAAAATGTTTCCAATTTACATATGTTAAATGTTCATAATTTAAATACTGAATATTCACAATTTGCATACTGAATATTCACAATTTACATATTGAATATTTACAATTTTATATAATAAATGTTCACAATTTGAATTGTAAACCTTCAATATGTAAATTATTTTGACCCGAGTTCGCCTTTTAATGTGGATTCGGGTCCATGGTATAAGTGTGCAGTACAATAAGAAAATCATTGCAAGCCGCCCTTTAAATAGTTTTATACTTTAGTCTTCTATTTTATAGTTTGTACCATCGGAATTGAAACAACGAAAAGTCAATAAGAACAAAATAGTGAAACAATTTTTTAAGGAACAATCAACGAAGTACAAAATATTTGGCCTGAATAAATCTTAAGACAAAAATAAACTCAACTTTTATATAATACATAAATTTAAATATCCTTTTGAAGATCCACAATTTACATCACACGTTGCAGTATTTTAAGGGGTGTTTGGTTGGATATAATATGAGTGTAATTGACTTGAATTCAAACCCTCCCCTTCCCCCCGCCCCCCCCCCCCCCCCCCCCCGCCTCTCGAGAATTACAATTCGACGATTTGAAGGGAGAAGAAAATATAGAATGACAATTTTACCCTTTGTCTTATTTTGTCTTATTAGCTATCTTATTACCCTCCTTCTTCCTTCTTGCCCTCTAATTACAATTTGGCGATCTTGTCTTATTATTATTAGTATAATATTAGTAAATAAGAACATTTCAGTCATTATATCACTTATTTCTTTTTAATTTCATATCTTATTACTACGTACCAAACACTGTAATTTGAAGTCTTACTTTATTCCACATATCAAACACTGTAATTTGAATTTATATTTTATTCCCATATTATTATTTCTCACCTAATTACAATTTATTTTCACTCTAATTCATTCCTTCCAACCAAACACCAATATTTCACGTCACTTGAGGGTACAGTATTTTACAAGTTTCCTTTAAATAAACGATACAGTGCGCCAATAAGCCAACTCTCGAGAGCACAGAATCACAGAGAGAGAGTGAGAGAGAGTACGGAAGTTCAGCCATGGTGCGACTCTTCTTCGATAAGCCTGCTCTCTATGCAATTCGTGCTTTTCTCTACAGTTTTAGGAATTTATTTATTTTTATTTTTATTTTTTATTGTGAATTCAAAATTTCCCCCCAATATGGCAGGACGACGAGGAATTGGAGCCGCTCTTCGATTACCACCGCGTGCAACCTTACAATGCCATTATCCTTGACGGTATGCGCTCTCTCTCTCGCGTTTGTGTATGTTTGTTTAAGTTTCTAACTTTTTTTTCACTGTTCCTTTGAATTTGGAAGATGATAGTCCAGATTCATCGCCAGTAGCTAATGCGAAAAAGCGGAAAATTGACACTTCTGTTGTAAGAACCTTGAACTCTTTATGAACTCGAGTTCATTTGTTTGAATTTGACTATATTAATTCATGTATATTTATTGTATTTGATATTAGGATGAAGAGAAACAGGACAATAAAGATGTAATTCAAGTAATAGATTGTGAGGAAAAAGAAGAGGAAGATTGGCTGAAGCTACCGCCAAAGATTTCAGCTGATACTGTAAAGAAGCGTGAGAATTCAACCATAAAGGAAATAAGGTATTCACAGCAGTATATTAATGTTGCATATTTGCATTTATTTAACCTAGTTGGTTGTAAATTGTATTGTGAATAGGTTTAATTCTTTAGTGATGTTATGATGGAAATAACTAAATTCATGTTTTATCAGGTGGAGTAGTCCTGTTTCATACCAGAGTGATTTATTGAATCAACAATTATCTATTGTTGTATTTTACTGTATGGAACTATGCTTTTCACAAAAAAATCAGTTTATCGACCCAACTAAATCATAGAATTTCCAATTATTTTTAATATTATAGGTGAGGAATTAGAAAAAAAACATTGTTATCTTTTCAGTAAGCATGTACTGAAGAGAAGATACCTCCCTTATTATTAGTTTAAAATTTTGTCCATTTGTAAAGTAGTTATCTCTCTACTTTTCAGTCTCTTTTAATATTATAGATGGCTGTTCATAGGTTAAAAAAGCAGGAGCTGGCATCCCTTGCTGAATCCGCAAAGCATGTGCTACGAGATGTTGAGGATTCTGTAAAAAGAGATCTTAGCACTTCATTGCAATCGAGTGAAGGAAGTGTTGCAGAGCAGCAGACAAAACCTTGCAGTGAAAGGGCTAAAATAATTATTTGTATTCAAGACAAGGATGGCTCCAAACAATTCCGTGTTTTCATGGTACATCTTGCCACTTCCCCTTGAAAATTAAAGTGTGCACATGGCTTCTGCATGTCTGTTATGGTATCATTAACCATATACTGCTTGAAAATGAGGTTTTTGTTTGATTTCAATGCCCATGCTGTGATTCCTAAGCAATGGAAGGTTAAGATGTTAGATACTTTTCTATATTTTGCAGGTGTGTATGTCTTGTATAGTTTAACCATACAGTTAATGTGCCAAGTTTCATAAACTAAACATATTTGATTGTTTTTTTTCTCAAAGTGAAGTAGGGACCCCTTGTTAGCACCAGACATTTAGCCAGCATGACCTTGATGAATTTCACTTCTATATGTTATAACAACCTGAATGCTTCTAATATAACTATGGGAGGAAGTAATTTGTAGTTAAAATTTTCAAGGTATTGCTAGGACTGTGAGATGTCAATCTGTCACATGGTCTTAGCCTAAGCAGTGTTGTAAAAATTGCTAGGCGCCCATCAGGTGTTTGATGGATGCCTAGTCGCTAGCACCTAGGCCGTTAATGCGGGCTGGGGACATGGATATGATGCAAGAAGGCAACAATACTTTTATTAATTATTTAATATATATTTTAGTTAGATTAGAATTGCTTAATATGGAGTAGTTGGTTGTCTTAGTCTTTTAGGTATTCTAGTTATTTGATTCAATTAGAAGTCTCTGTCTAATGATTATTAGTTATTAGAGTCTTGGATTAATGGGAATCAGAATTTTAAATCCCAAAAGGGGACTAAGGGAGTTTTGGGCCTTGAAGTGTGGCAAAACACTTCTTCCTATTCCTTCTTCGGCCCGTGACTTAGACTATAACAATTGGTTTTGTTGCCATTTTGGTGTTTTGTCTTGGCCTTCAAGGAATTTAGTTATCCACCTCTTTAATCTTCACCTAATTCTTTGAGATGATGTATGCAGTACTCTTTCATTAATAGCTGCAAACCATTCTCCGATTCTTTAATTGCGTTGAATTCTGGATTGTCTGAAAGTGTTTTCCTGGCATTCTAGCAATGGAACCAAATGTTACAGTCTAAGTCACAGGCAGAAAAAGGAATAGGAAGAAGTGGTTTGCCACACTTCAAGGCTAGGTTTGCTTGAGATCCCAAAACTCGCTTAGTCCCCCTCTTTGGATTTAAAATTCTACTTCCAATTAATCCAATGAATTCTCCATTTCTATAATAGGGAAAATACAAGACTCCAATAACTAATAATCACATAACCAATTAAGACATAGATTTCTAATTGAATCAAATAACTGGAACACACCTAAAAGACTAAGAAAACCAACTATTAAGCAATTCTAATCTAACTAAAACATCTATTAAATAATTGATATAAGTGTTGTTGCCTTCCTACCAATCCTACATCATATCCATCAATCCATGTCCCCAGCCCGCATTAGCCGCCTAGGTGCATGACTAAAATTTTTATTTTTGGGCATTTGGCAACTCTGGTTTTTTAGACTTCTAACACTAAGCCTAGCCAAGATCTTTGTTTTGAAACTGCTGACTCATGTATTTTATTTTATTATTATTTTTTTAAAAAAACTTTTCAAGATCTGAATTCCTAAATATTCATTGTTGCTTCTATGGAGTGCTCATGATCAGTCTTGTGAAAAAGGTTTGGATTATAGGTATTTTCACTGAAAACACATGTTTCTGAATTGACTGTTTCTTGAAAATTAGTAAATATTAGAGATGCTATATAGTGTCCAGATCTAAGATATTGAAATGCTTTCCATTTAAACTTTGGTATTTGTATGACTCGTGTCATCTTTCTAAACATGTGGGCCTTTGGTGTTTAATTTCCACTTGCTGGTGTGCTGGTTTTACACTAGTATTTGAATTGTTAATAGTATACCCTTTGTTATTATTCAATATTTGTATAAATCTTAACATAAATATTTCTCTTTTTGTTCACACAGGATGATAAATTTGAGCGACTTTTCAAACTGTATGCTGACAAAGCTAAGCTTAATTTACAAAACTTAATTTTCCGTTTTGATGGGGACAAAATTAGTCCCACAGCAACTCCTCATAGCCTTGGGATGGAGGACGACGACATTGTTGAAGTGCATGTTAAACCAAGCTGATTCAGGTAAAAGGCTCTTATGTCTTTTACCGAAATGTTTTCCGTCATTCTATCTTTTTGGGACATTTTATCTTATAACTTTTGATTTATATGAAGTATGTTATCTGATCATTAACTAAGAATAAAGTGTGTGATCTGCAAATAAGGTAATATTTGAGAACCTTAGTCATCTTAAAATTCAAAAAGTCTGATTTACTGGGAAAAGCCTATCAGTTCATCATCCTAGAAATTCATTCGGAGGACAGGTTTAAAACATAGGAGAAGGTTGGTAGTTGGTAGTTGGAAGTTGGAGATTCAATTTGGCTTTAAAGAAGGCACTTCAGAATGTATCATAGAGGATATGAGGCTATCAAAAGTCTTCATTTCACTTGATTTTTTTTTTTTTCTCTTCGGTCTCTCTAACTTCTGTTTTCGCTTATCCATTTCAGGTTTTCCTTTTGTGCTCTAGATGATTCGCTTTTTGGTGTCCTTGAAGTTTTTTTGCGTGTTCCATTGGTCTTTATATAAGTTTAGCGTTGCAATTGTATAGTAAATACTGTTTATGGAAACATAGAATTCAACCTTTGAAAACATCCTCATTGTTAGAACTTAGGTTACTTGGTTGCTGATCCGCTAACCGTTATTTACCAAACTCTCTTTTAAGTTAAAATTACACTTATGGTTTCTTGTTTTCTCTCAACTTAACTTTTTTTTTTTTCTTCATTTTCCTTGTATAGTGGGAAAAAAAGAAACTAGAATCCAACAACGAGTAATATTTGAGGTCTTTCATAAAGAACCACATAATATAATATTTATTGGTTATTTTCTGTGTTAAATTAGGAGATAATTGAATGAGTGTAGACATTGTTTGTCTTGGCATGAATGGTGGCAATAACTTTCACAAGGGATAAGATTATCCAAATCAAAAAGTCGTGATCATAGTGTACAAAATAACTTTTGCCCCATACTTCATTAATTTTTACGTAATTTTCACAAGTGTCTACATCAAGATTTTGTGTGTGAGAATAGAAAATGAGAGTATACATAACATTTTCCTTTAAATACAATTGTAGCTGCCGTCAAGAGCATATATAAGAGTTACGTGGGACGTTTTTATATTTGGTCGGGAATAAATTTTTTGTTTTATATTTGACCAGACGTTTAAGGCCTATGTTGACAATATTGTTGGCATGTTTATGGCAACTTCAGTTTCTTCACTCAACTGGACCTGCTTCTCAATTCTTATTCATTCCTCTTTGGTCCATCTCAAAGTTTGAGATTACATTTAATTTTAATATAATTTTTTTGTAATCTTAATCATTTATAATAAACACAAAAAAAAAAAAAAAAAAAAATCTAACTTGACATATATTTTACTATGTCATTATTGTCACATCATCCATTCACCTATTACCTAACTACTACATATAATTTACATCATATCATCATACAACAGTAAACACTAATGCCACCAAAATATATTGATGACCCTAAAGAGTTTTTTTTTTTTTTAAATACTTAGGTAAAATAATTATATACATAATATTTCATTTTCGTTATTTTTAATATTTTATTGTAATTTATATATTGATATAAAATAATAATTGTAGAGATAAATTAAGATTTATTGATAAAAATAATATTTTTTAATGTGATGTGAAAGTGGGACCATATTTGAAAGTGAGAGTATTGCAGGGATAAATCTAGCCTAAGCCTACATTCCTACAAGACCCCGCCCCTAGAGCCACTGCAGAGGTAAATCGCAAATTCCGCAATCAGTTCACCGGTCAGACTCTAATATTCATGTACGCACAAGGGATCCAATCCACACATTCAATCATCATGCGCCTTTTTCCTATTCATATTTTCAGTGGAATTCAAATTTCGAACTCACACACTACCTTCTTCAGTCGTGACATCAAGTCATGTGACAAATCACTATGCTAAGCTCCGTGGGACTAGAAGATAATAGTGAACTTGATCAATATATTATAAGTATCACAATTTTTTGTTCCTAACTTATCAATAGTGATGCTTTCAGTCATTCTATTAACAATATTGTTAAAATTTATCCGTATTCTTCAGAAATCTTAATTGATTGTAGCTAGTAAAAGAACTTTGAGTGTGTTCTTGTATAATAGCCCGCAAACTACATATAAGAGGTGAATTGCACTAAAAAAATCATGTGCTACAGGTAAGCTCGACCAAAAAGGTGCTGGTAAAAATCAAACTCGTAATCTTCTAGTACAAAATCATGCTCGACCTACTTAGCCTTTTATAAAAAATTACATACAAATTTAATTCAAAAGTATCAAATAATCAACACACTTAATTCCTTTTTTCAACTTATATAAAATGCCTTAGACCCCCACCCAAAAAAAAAAAAAAAAAAAAAAACCATCAATCGCTTACAATTCATTAGTCAACGTCTATCTAAAATGCAAAGAAAGTTCAAATTATTGGTGGATTAATTGTGATTATAGGGCAATACTATTTTCAAGTCAATGAACAATTGTTTTGATTCTAGCACAAAATATAGTGGAACACTCGTTTGAAATTTGTGATTATGATTTTAATTACTTTTTCAATTAAATAATTCTTTATTTAACTTTTCTTTTACCCGGCCTCTCATTTCATATATTTGATTTAATTAAAAATAAATTATATAAATTATTTATAATATAATTTTTTTAATAAAGTCTGATACTTAATTTAGTGTTATTAAATAAAAGTAGAAAGGGTTAAATAGATACTTAAACTATATGCCAAAAAGTAAATAGACCCCTAAATTTAAAAAAATATAATTAATTAAACACATCAATTCCTAAATTTAATTCAATTTAACTAATAGCTTGTTACATTAATCTAATTAGGTCAATTGAACAATAACATTAAGGTGATAACCTATTTTATAAGCTTAAAAGGATATTTAAAAAAAATAATTTTTTTTTAAAAGAAAAATATTAATTGTTGGCTTCTTTCTCCAGTTAGGCAAGGCAAAGAAACTGGTTGGACAGAGAAGCCATCTTTGGCTGCTCCGTCCAAATTTTGAAGGAGAAACTAACATGATTTCTTTGTCCAACTGGACTCCCAGCAATTCCGTCCAAGTGGACAAAAAATCATGATTGGCTTCTGCGTCCAGTTGAACAGAGAAAATGGATGATTTCTCCATTAACGGAGAAGTCAAACATTTGATTTTTTTTTTATTTTTTAAAAATATTTTTTAGAATTTAAAAATACTCTTAGGAGTTTTTAATTCTTAAATTATTTTTTTACTTAAAAAAATATTTTTACCAAATACCTAGAGATAAAGGGTTAACCAACGTAACTCAATTGAATAAAAATGAAGAGTTGAGGTGTATAATTAAAACTTTTATAGTTTAAAGACATAATTACTTTTTCTTCTATAGTTTGTGAGCCTATTTTTTCCATATAAAATTTGTGTGTAAAATTACATTAGAATTTTTATTAAGTTCAAAATTTTTAAATAAAAATATTAAAGAAAATAATCAAATAAAACACTGGTTTGATATTTGAATAGTAAATGTAATATGTAAAATGAAAAAAAAAAGGAGAATGAAAATAATAATAATATTTGGACCTAATAATATTCCACCTACTTGTATTTTGAGTTTGTTTTAATATATGATTCATTCTTTAGCTTTCAAATAATAATAATAATAATAATAATAATAATAATAATAATATTATTATTATTATTATTATTATTATTAATTAATTAATTAATTAATAATGATGACCACGACGATGACGACTATAATAGAGATTTGGACGGGATGCTTAATTAGGTCACTATACTTGTTTTGGGTGATTAGCCAAACACAATAAGGCTACCTAATTTCATATTGGTTTAAATGGTAATGTCCTAACAACCCACGTGACCTTTTGAAAGTGAGCATGTTTCTCAAAAATCAGTGCTTGAATGCGATAAATTGATGAACCATAATTCTCGTAGTTGAATGTCTCAATTTTAATTTTTGTTAATAATTTTTAGGTTGAGACCATTGCACGTGTCTTCTTGAACTATTACATAGGATTGAGGTTTATTCTGTACAGATTTTTGGAGTTTAAAGTAATTAATGACCCACTTGATTTGCGGAAATAAGTTCATGAGAGAATTTATTCCTCAAATATCCGGGGGGGGGGTTGGGATTGTTTACCTTGAAAATTTATTTAATTAAATTTGAGGAAAATGATTTTATTAGTCTCCCCCTAGCACTTACCTTACTCTGGTGGGACTCGGACTGTGACCTGATTTAGATATCACTTGGTAAGATCAAACACTTACCACTAATTTAAAAATTATAGCTCATAATAAATTTTATTTCCTTATACCGCCACATTTTCATTAGGCATGATTGACTTGTCTTTTCAAGCCTCTACCCAACAAATATAGTCAATATTTTAAAAAAAATTCATAGAATTTCAATTCAATTCTTTCCCAATTATTTTCAATAAACTAAATCAATTGTTAAATTACTTATTAGGAAAATAGTTCTCAAAATTATAATTACATTGCGATTTTAATCATGTCACGTCAAAATTTTAATCTTCAAATTATAGACAAGTAACAAAAATTACTTTTAGATTATTCACTATGAGAAGATCAAAATCATAACATGATTAAAAATTTAAAAATTATTTATACCTATATTACACAGTTAAGAACTAAAATTACATTGTATTATTTAATATTCCTTCCGTCCCATTTTATATATCAGATTCGATTAACAAGATTTGATTGAAGTTATTTACAATTTAATATTTTATAATATTAAGTTTAAAATTAATATATATAATATATATATATTTAAAAATTACATTAAAAATACTATTAAACACAAAAAATAAAAATAAAATTTAAAAATTATAAGAAATTATTAATAAAAATAAATAAAAAATAATTAATTTAACCAATAAATAGTAAATATCTCAGATAAAATTGGGGAAGGGAGTAATAACTAATAACTTGTAGAAAAAGACTAAAACGATTAAAAAGAGAATTAGAGAGAGACTAAGGGCAATTTATATCCTACACCACGGCGTACATTGCACTATGCGCCCAGATGCAAAACGATGTCGTTTTAATTATTTTTTTTTTGAAATTTCCCGCCCCAGTGAATGGCAGTAGGCTTTTCTTTAAAAAAAAAACCGCTGTTCAAGAATGTACATAATGTTATACTTGAATACACATAATGTTATAACAAAATATACATACTCTTTTTAAAAGATAATACACATAATCTAACATAATACATAATAAACATAAACTTTTAACATAATACACATCAACTCTTAACATAATACACACAAATTTTCTGATTCGGATGTACATAATTGTATAAAAACAATGTACATAATTGTATAAAAAATACACATAACTGTATGAACCAATACACATAACGTTGTGAACGAATACACATAACGTTGTGAACGAATACACATAATCTCAGCAACTTCCTACCGCGCCTCCCAACACGACCCCAAAACGACGTCGTTTTGGGAGGCACGCGGCGCATAGTGCTATGTGCGCCGTGGTGTAGGATATAACGATTGGAGACTAAGATGGTACGAGTACTTTTTTTGTTTTGGAATAATAAGACATGTTTGGGATTGTTAGATTTTGTAGAGATAAAAGTTGATGGGCGT